GTGTTACAAGTGACTACATTCGGCACGTTGAAAGCCGAATTTGATATTGAGCTTCGTAAAAATAGTAACCTTGTCTTCAGGTTCGAGAGCCCAAGAGGCCGAGACGTGTTCCTTTCTCGGCCGCAATCGCAAGACGCAGAAGTCAGTAGCGCGACCCAACGCAACATCAACAAATTTACTCCTCGGCCGAGCTCGGCCGACGAGTTGGCACGCCCCGCATTCACCGAAGGACGTAGTTAGCTCATTAATTACTCGGCCTGCGCGCCACGTAGGCTTTGTAGTTTTTAGGGTCAACAAAACTTTATGGCATTAGCGCTAGGCCTGGCATTTTCAACCTGATCTGTTAATTTTATTTGATCCGATCCGATTCGTTAAAATTAATATTCAGATGAGTGCTAAACTGTTCAGGTGGTTAACGTGTCAACCCATTAATCACACGTTAAATAACAGGTCATTTGGGTGAACCTGCAAAAAAGTATCGATATGCTTGTTGATATTGAATGGTTGGAACTTGTATGTACATGTATCTTATCTAAGAATAACAGTTAACTTAATAATCATACTTAATAATCATGTCAAAGTAATAGACGTAAAACCTTTCACTCTTAGACCATCTCCAACAGTTGGACTAAAACCAAATTTTTTTAGCCTGAACAATTTAGCTTTTAGCCCAAAAATAACTTTTATGCTCCAACTCTTCTTGCCTAAAATTTTAGACCAGGATTATTAAAGATTGAACTTAGGCTTATTTTTTTCTTAAATTTATTTATTTATTTTTTTTTTAAAATATGTAGACTATCGTAAATTAATTCTATAAACATTTTAACTAAAAATATTTAAATTCCAATAAATATTGAAAAATCACTAAATCTATATATGAAACTCATGAAACACTATAGAAGAATATGAAAATCATGATAGAGATGTATAAACACAAAATTTGGAAATGGTAGAAAGAAAAATTGGAATAATTGTAGGAGAAAAGTGAGTTTTGTGTGGATGTTTGAACAAATACATAGGTATTTATAGAGTTTTTTGGTAAATTTTGAGTTAAATAATTTTTTTAATTATTTTAGTCGTTGGATTTAAATTTGGGCCGTTAGATCTTTTTTTTTTTACTATTAGATTTGATTATATTCGATCTCAGCCGTTGGATTCAATAAATATATAAATATAAAAACAAAAAAATATAAATTTGAATCTAGGCCATTGGATCAACCAATGGCCTGTTGATCGCGATCGTCAGATCAAAGTAGCCGTTGGGATGCCTAGGAAAGGTGGCCGACAGGCCCATGTGGGTGGGGCCTTGTCTGTCTGAGGGTCACGCATCAGGCGAGTGGGTGGGGGGGGGGATTGGCGCACAGACGCCGGGTTTCACTCATTTCGGTGAGGCCCACATCGAATCCTAGGCTAAATTTTGGGGGGAATTTGGCTTTTAGCTTTTAGCCCAAAGATTTGCCTTGGATTGGGTTTGGGGGGGGGGGGAATAGGGGGAAATTTGACATTTAGCCTATGGTTGGAGATGGTTTTAGGGTACTCATCCATATTGAGGTTCCGAGTTTAATATTTTCCTCATCTTTTATATCCAAAATGAAAAGCACGTACTCGTTTCCCAAGCTTAGATCGGGATGGTTTCAATTTTTACCAGTCTCTATTTTTTATTTTTTATTTTTTTTATTTGTCGAATGGTCTCTATTTTTTATTATGTTTACAAATATGGAAATAAAGAATAATTGGAAACCTTCTGATACATTTTTTCCCCAGAAAATCTTCAAACACATTTGAAATTTGTTTCCTTTTCTTCCAGATCCCAATTTTTCTTTGTACATTGTCATTTCAAATACACTAAATGGTCATCAAATACATTGTCTTGGTCCACAAATTAGCAAGATTAACATTTTTAAAAAGAAAAAAAAAGGAAAAAAAAATCTCACCCAGAAAAAAGAAAACGAAAGGAAAGGAAAAAAGGGGCCAAATTTTGCATGGTTGAGAATTCCAAAACCTAAACCTAACCCTAATCCTATACCCCTATCCCTCACCAACCACCACCCTCCCTATAAATTGGCCCGATTACTGAGTGTTTTTGCACCAACAAAAAGTAGCCTTCTCGCGTGTAATCGGAGTCAATTTATACACAGTTAGAATGTGGATGATGTTGGAAGTTTTGAGACTTTTGTCCCACATTGGGAAAAACAAGATTCCCAAGGATCTTTATATAGATTTAATGCTTTAGTATAGTAATTACAATAAGAGCCATTTGGAAATGGATTGAAGGCTTGGGGCCTACCGTTTGGTACATGGGACGGGACGGGACAGAATCGTCCCATGTTTGGTGCGCCTAAAAATCGTGGAACGGGTTGTCCCATGGGATGAAATTTGGTTGATTTTTCGTTCCACCTCTTCCCCCTAGAACGACACATATGTGGAACACAAATTTATAACATTTTATGACAAAATTTCTCCTTATCTTTTTCAATATTTACATTATCTGTTCTGTCATGTTCCGTCCCGTCCCGTCTCGTTCCGTCCCGTTTGCGTATCAAACGGTACCTTATGGTTGTGTGGATTAGGCTTGTATAATATAGCCTAAATACAATTAATATTAATTAATCAAGACAAGGGCCTTGGGCCTTGGAATTTAAAATTAATTTGATTCATTAATTTTAATTTTCGGATTAAGTTTTTAATTAATTTATTAATTAAAAACATTTTGATTAAAAGACACAGCTCTTAGAAAGAGTTGTGTACCTTCAAATACACTGAACATGTATTTGAAAGGGTGTGAAACAGCCTATATATCTGCAATCACAGTTTCCAAATGGATGATCTTTTCTTGCTCTTTCCTTATGTACGAATTTTCTAAAGAGTAAACACACAAAAAACAAATTCGATAGAGTTCTAGAATCCTGTGCGGATTGTAGAATTAGGTAATTGAATCCTGATCGAGCAGACGTTATAGAACCACAAGCACATGAGTGGGACGAAAATATTGTTTGAAGGACATAGCTTTTACGCTAGCCTCTACCTTCTGTAATCAAGTTAGTAACATTAATTTCTGTATTTATTGTGTAATTTTCGTTTTGTACATCAAGTATATTTTGGTTAATAAAATATTAGAATTTATGTTAGTTTTGTTTATTTCTGAATTGTTCTCCAACTGATGCTAGCTTCAGAAACTCTAGATGACAGTGAAGACGAAGCTGATGAAGAATACCTTACGGTTCTCAACTCAACCATCGAATCGCTGATTTACCAGAGAGGTATTATACAAGACTTTTTAGGACATAGTTTTCAAATTTTCAGATTCATTTTTCAACTTCTAATATGTTCTTGGTGTCTTTTATTTTTCGATAATTATAATCCAAGATCACAAATTAAATATAACATGGAAATATATATACATGTATTATTTATTTACGATGCTGTCTTGAATATACATTCATCTGTAGGACAGAAACAACTCTTCTGATGCAGATGAGGAAGCCACTCGGGAAAGCTGTAGGGTTTGTCCTCGAGCTTCAACATGCAGAGTTGCACTTCTTGTGTGGCTCGGCTTAGTTGGGTTTCTCAACAGACGCTACAGGGACTGCAACTGCCGCACGTGTGTCTTCCTGATGCTGAACCAAAACGTTAAGCCCTATAAGCCTCCAACCCAGAAGCATCCTTGTTTTGGCATAGCTTCATAAAATTAATAATTGAAGATTTAGGGCTCGTTTGGTGGACTGGATGAGCGTAATCTAAAACTGGACACGGGAGGCGCATGCAGTACTTGTAAAGATAGGAGAAATACAATGGCCTCCAACTATCGTTATTTAAGTGCTTCGATTCAAATGAATTTTCTTTCAAAATACCAACTGAGATGTGTAAATTCAAGTAGAGGTTCTTTCAAGTGACGATATAAACCTTTAAAATTGTTAGTCTGTAAATATCTGTAAATTTGTATACTACTGTATTATGTCTTATTTGAAAATGAACAGTGAATTCTATAAGTCTTGATTAATATCGAGTTCATATCCTAAATTTTTAGGAATACTAAAATGTTTCGATATTATGCCAAGTAGTTGTGTACCCCAAGGAATAATTGATCAACCTAAAATATCGAGCTTTCGGATTAGGATTGATAAAAAAAAATGAAAACTTTGGTACAGGACGAAACGGAGAGGGAGCAAAGATGTCCTCGGATGAAAACAAGGAAGAAGAAGAAAGAGACGGAGAGGTTATAATTTTGTATTCTACGGATGTGGAACGAGTCGTTCCAGAGGGGTGAGGCGGAACGAAAATTCATCCAAAATTCGTCCCGTGGAACAGCGCGTTCCACCTGTTTTAGGCACACCAAACGTGGGACGGAACGTCTCGTCCCACTCCGTTCCGTCCCGTCCCACGTACCAAACGGTACCTAATTGACCAAAATCTTAGACCAAAACTTTATTAATTTAAATACTTTGAAAGACAAAATGCTAAATTACAAATTAATTAAGAAATTAATAACAAAAAATAATAATTCCTCGCTGTAATCATGCAAAGTTTATACCATATGAGGATTTTGAATTATTTCCTCAAATTTAAAATGTGCAATTAGATTTTATTTTTTTGAGTTACAAAAAGTGGAAAACTTAACATTAAAAGCAACGGGTACATTTTACATAAAAAAATTCGGTACATTTACATGACAAAGTGGTACATTTTTAATGAAAAATAGGTACATTATAAATAAGGGGTGTGCTATCCACACATCCTATTTTACTTCTTACACACCCCATTTTACTTCTTACACACCCCTTGTTAATTTTTATCCGTTGATTTTCTTCAATTTATCTGATCCGAAAGCCGAAAATTAGAAGGGTATGTAAAAAGTAAAATGGGGTGTGTGAATATCACACCCCTATAAATAAACTATGGGTACTGTCACACTCCAACCGGAATCAAGGCGTGCTGACCGTCACGTGAAGGTGACGTAACCAAAAGTGCAAGTGATGAAAGAAAATTGTGAATAAATTAATACCAAAACTAGAACTTATTTAAACTAATAAAGTGAGTGTGCAGTAGTGGTTACAACTCATAACTACAAATATTCAGAGCATAGATAACATAAGGGTAAAGCAGTCGAACAAGAAAAGTACTTATTACATAACTAGAGATAAGTTCCTACGTTAAGATGGAGATATGTCAGAATCGTAGGGTAATCCTCGAGTGCCACATAGTAAGTTAGCTATCTAGGACCTGGAGGAGCGAAAAACATAAGGGTGAGTGGGCACAAAAATCAAGATTTATAAAATCCATTTATTTTCTAAACATACTAACATCTCGCTGTAAAACAAGTATAGTTTTCCGAAAATCATACTACGTATAAGTATGAAATCAAATGCATGCCAACATTAAATTCAGGAATGTGCCACAACAGAATATCTCAACGGTAATATGAATATAATCATGTGCTCAATAATCTATACTAGCACGCAAGTCAAAGTCACCTAATGTGACCTGTACAACTACACCTATTGCTCATCCATCTATGCTAACACACGAGTCGGAGTTACCTAGTGTGATAAATACGACAGGATTAGGTGTGATAATATACGCTCTAGTGCTATGATCACTTGAAGACTAGCACTATGCGTGTCACCTACAAGTCGGAGTCGCTTAATGCGACCTGTACGACATGACAGCACCTACTTGGATCGAAGGCGAGCATGAGGTGCGAGGTGAACATCACGTGAAGGACTGGCCCTGGCCCAAGGCGAGCACTAACACCGATGCAGCAATGATGAACGAACTATATGAAAATATGCATGCCATAACTCAAACATTCCAAACAACGTAACAAACTCACATGTACTTACTTGCGCATCCCGTAGAATTACTTAGCATTGGACAATAGCATAATATTTACAAGCAGGTAAAATGCATATGAATATGACATGATCAAATATATATCTCAACCACATAACAACATTTTTTAAATTATATAACTCATAGCATAATATGCATAAAACAGTTTAAAAACATTTGTGGAAACTATTAAGTTTATATATATATATATATATATATATATATATAAACAAAATGCCCACTCACTGGTATGTCATAGGATCGTAGCCCCCTAATCTCGCTTGCCCACATACGTCCTCAGGGTATGTCTCCCCTATACGCGAAACAACTACTTATAATTAATTAATAGGACATATACGGAAAAACTAGTAAAAACTTCCCATAATTTGCTCAAATGGAAGGTTTGAATATACGACAATGTTCTACTCGAAGTCACATACCTACACGTAAAAACCACTCGCCGACCAGAGGCCGGACGCGCCCTCACGCACCGTCCAACCCATGTCCACGCGCAAGCACAATGACTGATGAAACATAGGAATATTCCATCAGATTTGACAAAATATTTCGTTAAATAGTAAAGGACATTAATGGTGTTACCTAACGCCGTTAGAATATTTTGTCAACTTTGATGGAATATTCCTTGTCTTCTTCGGTGAGATTGTCACCCGTCGCCGTCTGGTTTTGTAGGAAATTGGAAAAACTCGCAAGTTTTTGGAAAATTTTCAAACCTTTATATCTTGGTCATTTCTTAACCATTTTTAGCAAACTTTACATGGAAATGAAGCTCGTGACGAGGAACAAATCTATACCTTTTGAAAGTAAAAAAATGGACAGGAAGTGGCCTGAAAATGGCTCGATAGGTTCAACCAAAACTTTGTTCCTCGAACCTGTGTGCTTTCGAGGTTGTTTTTTCTTCAAACTTGTCCTAGGAGTCTCAGGAATTGTAAGGAAGCTTCCCCACGTCCTAAAATCTCTTAACTCGACCGGGTTCACAATGATACCAACTGGACTGAGTCGGAGCTTCCGAGTTACTCTGTGTTGACCACCCAAAACTCAACCAACGCATGATCTGAGGGTACGATTGAGTTCGTGGTGACGAGAGGAGTGTGATGGTGTGGTTCTTGAGCTCGATCTGCAAGGTTTTGACGTTGGTCTTCCTTGTCGCAGAGAAAGGGAGCTTTGGTGAAGGAAGAGAAGAGAGAGAAAGTGTGACTTTTCTGATTGGGCAGAGAGAGAGAGTGAGAAAGAAAATGATTAGGTGAAAGGTGTGAGGGACATATTTGATTGGTGGTAAGGTGTAAGGCACATGTCCGGTTTTTAAGAAAAGAAAGGATATGATTTGTATAGAGTAATCAGACGCAATCTATCCAAAACAGTGTTTCAAACACTGGTAAATTAACACACGCTCGTGTACAATTTTACCCGTCAATTACTTACTTTAACGTAACGTAACTTTTTCGTTACGAGTCCAATTCGGGTCTAACTCGTGCTCGCGTGATCGTAACAATTAGTTCTATTTAATTACGATAGCAAGAAAAATAATTTCAGAACAAATAAACACGTCCATGTCACTTGCCAACAAGGGCAAAAATGTCAATTCACATACTCGGAGAGAAATTTCATAGAAAATTAGGGACGGGTCGTCACAGGTACAAACAAAAGATCAAAAAAATTATGAATACAAATTAAATTTTAAAAAATATGGCACAAAAATAACTAAATTCTATGGATACAAATTAAAATTAGAAAGGAAATTGGTACCAAAAAAATAATGGTTGGAAATTGAAAGTAGTTACAAATTAAAAACAAAAATATATGATACACATTTTTGCCGTAAACTTAAGTATACTAAATGTAATGTTTTTTAACAGTAAATTGATATATTGGAAAATAAAATTTAAGATGCTAACATGTAAATAATGACATGGATAAAAATCAAAAGACCTTGATAAATAAAATTAAAAAAAAAAAGATTCAATCAATGAAATAAAAAAAGAAAATTTTAACGAAACACTCATGGTATTGTTCACTTTTAACGCAAAACCACATTTTTACATTTTCTTAGTACTATTCACTACACATTTATTTGTCATTTTTCATTAAAACTAATTTTTTTTAAAACTTTTTGTTAGTTTTCCTATAAATAAAATGATGTATGATAACCTAATTGTTCCTAAAATAAATCAAGTTTGGAAAGTTTTTTAACATTGGTAAATGGGTTTCTGATGAGGGAATATTTAGTTTGGGTGGAATCATCCCATAAAGTAAATATCAAATGTGGGCTTCTTTAAGCCCAATTTCTGAAAGTCCCTTCCCAAAAATGTCATCTCCAAGTCCACCACATACATGTCATTTCTATATTGATATCATAATTTTTAATTTTTTTAACAGCTTGAGATCAGGCTGTGGAAAGTAGGGGTGGCCATTTAAAACCGAAAATTGAAACTGAAACACAAACCAAATCAAACCGCACCGAATGGTTTGATTTTGCAGTTTTGAAACGGTTTCGGTTTTGAAACCAAACAGCAAAGTAGGAAACGGTTTGGTTTCGATTTTAGCTTTTGAAAATCGCACCGAAACCGAACCGCACTATAAATATTAATAAGCATTTAATTAAATGTACATATTAGATGTCATGTTTTAATAGATTGTTTGTTAGAGTTCATACATTTAGTATGAATCCAACCACACTAGAATATCATTAGTCATCACCTTCTTTCACTTCGACATAATATCACCATTCATGAGTAGGGGTGGGCACTTGAATGCATTGTCCTACACTGGTTACGTGATCAACGGGTAAATGTTCGACACAAAGGACGTTGAGAAATCGAAATTGCAAGGGAAATAATGCATAGCTTCCTCATAGATTTGAGGGTGCAACCATGCAAGTATGTTTGCTGGCCAATTAGACTATCTCCGAATGAGATGTCAAATATGCCAAATAAGATTAAAAGACATTTAGGTGTTCTCCAATAGATATGTCATATATGATGTGGCATGTAAGTCATTTGACTCCTTACTTTCTAGCTGCTTTTTTTTACAGCAACCAAAGAAGATGTCAAATATATTTAATTGAATGTTTTAATACATGGGTCCCATTAACAACCAATAGAATAAAAACTACAACTAATTTTGATTATTTTTTTATAGTTAATGTAACTCTAGGCCCAATAAAATAATAAAATAAATATTTGACACATTCATTGGAAATGAAGAGAATTTAGCACTTGTATTCAATTTGCCACATCAACCATCAAATAAAATTTTGACATATTATATTTAGCATCTCCTTTGGAGATGCTCTTATAATATACATCTGCAGGAGATGCTCTTATAATATACATCTGCCATGAGTCCATAACATTGGATCATTGATACATGTTATCTACTGCATAGAATATGCATGTAAAGTTGCAAACTGTTCATGCATTTCTTCTTCCCAAGCCTTAAAATTTTTGCATAGCAATTGGTACCTAGCTAGCTTATAAGGTTGCTCTGTGAGGACTTTTTACTGGTTTTTAATGAGGAATTAGTTTCATTTTATATACTGATTATGACATTTTGTAGCGGTTCGATTAGCTACTGCTTATGTTTAATTTGTACCCTTTAGGAGCACTCTCTATGATGTCTAGGTTGGGAAATGCATAATAATATGTTCTAATGTATGATGTCTTTCATTTCAAGTTCTGATTGATGATCTTACTAGAAACTATTTTTCTTCTAGATAAGTGTTTTTTTATTTATTTTTTAAGTTCTTTGTTGATTGCATTCATGTAAAGTTTGAGGTAACGAGCGTTTAGTAATTTAAATTGCATAGTTTTTCTTAAAAACCGAACCAAGCGGTTTGGTTTCATTTCGGTTTTGGCTTCAAACCGCATCGAACCGAACCGCAAAAAGTTTCAGTTTCGGTTTCAGTTTTACTCAAAACCGTACTGAATCGAATCGTGCCCATCCCTAGTGGAGAGCAACTTACATAAGATGGATTCACCATCAGGTAGCGTTTTGATTCAATAATACCATGTCATGTGTTGAAAACACATTGATTTATTGGAATTGGAAACCACACTAGCAATAAACCCATTCCCTCAGTCCTTCTTTGTGTTGTGAGATTTTTTCTTCTTGTCTGGGAAATATATGCATATTAGAACAAGTTTGATGGCTAAATCTGATACAAAAAATAAAAATAAAGAAAGAAAAAAACACAACTAAAAAGTTAATTTAAGGGTTTGTGACACATCCCAACGCAGATTGTCCATTAGGACTCCGAATCAAGTTGTGATGGCCGACATCTGTAAGGTGACGAAGCCATAAAATGTGGTGATGTGGAATATATGAATAAATTTAAACCTAAAAGTGCCTAAACAAGAGAGTGCGCTGTGAGCGGGGATGAACCCATTTCACACGTGACATTAGAGCATAAGTACAGTACAGTAGAGTGGATTGAAAATCATACCGTCGAAGGTAATCTCTAATACCAAGACTTGCCACGAATCCTCGTCGATACGAAAACTCTGCTACTAGAACCTGGAGAGATAAAAAAAAACAAGAGTGAGTGGGCCTGAATATAAAGATTTTGTTGATGCACAAAATCAGCGAGGACTTTGGTACAACAGAAAGTGTTAAGTTTGTGACCTTCGCTAGATTGCTCCGGTCACTAGTGTGTATAAGTAAGTAAATGGATAGGGACATGGAAGCAAACACAAGATGTACGTGGTTCACCCAGATTGGCTACGTCCACGGAGTAAAGGAGTTCTCATTAATTGTGAAGGGTTTACACAAGTACATAGGTTCAAACTCTCCTTTAGTGAGTACTAGTGAATGATTTAGTACAAATGACATTCAGAAATATTGTGAGAGAATGATCTCTATTTATAGAAGAAAGTTTCTAGTTTCATTCTGACATTGACATGTGTCATGTTGTGATTGGCTTCTGATGTTAACACGTGTCGCGCTGTGATTGGCCTCCTGGTTGAAGAGAAACTCTTCTGGGTCCTTGACGGTATAACGTTGACCGGTGCTCAGTAGTTTCGGGATTTGTCAAATATGGTACAAACAGTGCTCCCCTAAGTTCCCAAGTGAGGGAAGCCCCTCGGTTAGGGACTTGCAAGATCCAAGCTATTGAGTAATCACGAAACTTCTAAGTACCGAAGTGTGGTATCATTATCACTTGCCTTATCTGTCTCATATGTAAATGTGGCATCTTCTCTGGAAGTACTTTTCCTCTATCCAGAGGTGGTATCTTTAACCGATGAAGATGCATAAGGTAATGTATCAATTTCATTTGAAGTTTACTTGTAGTTTCGGGCTTGGTCAAGTGCGATACAAAACCCTATAGTAGGAGTCCCCCAAGTCGCCGAGCTAGGAGATTTGCTGAAAGAGGTAACAGACAAGGTAAGCAATCAGACTTCCAAGCAAGCAACCTAGATCGGAGGTTCAACTTCTGCTTCCGGTTGATTGTTCTCTTTCTCCTTATGTTGTAAACAGCAACAAGGATAAGGAGAAGCAAATGGAGAAGAAATGATATGAGATACTTTTGCTTTTGAAGAAGTAACTTTCCACAGGCTTATTCTTGAACTGGGCTGGAGGGTTTTCTGGTTTCCTCTAGAGTATAAGGCCGACTCAAGAATTTGAGGGTCAAAACAAGTCCATCAAATCAAGAATGCGTTCGACCTTGATGATATGGGATACTTTTGCCGTTGACGAAGTAATACATGAATCGGCACGTGTTCTGTTGCGCTTGTCTCCACATGCTTCCTTGTATCCTTCTCACTTGCCCTATCTGTTCCTCAGGAAGATGTGGTATCTTTTCTGGAAGCATAAGATGTTGAAGATGAGTACTCGAGAGCAATGACAGGTAAGTAATCAGGCAAGGGGTTCCGGGCAGTCAGTTTCTGACTGGAAGCTTGATTCCAAGTTTCTGACTGGAAGCTTGATTCCAAGTGCTGACTGATTGCTCTCTTTCTCCTTGTCTTGCAGGTAAGAACAAGAGCAAAGGAAAAGACAGGGAAAAAGCATGATATGGGATACTCTTGCTTTTGACCCTGATGATATGAGATACTCTTGCTCTGGTGTGGCTGGTTTGCATATGTATTATTGGGGGGGGAACTGAGTATTTCGAGAGGCTTCGTTGGGAGTGCCCTCTTAGATATGAGGAAGGGTTGAGCATTTTTGCAAGTCTGCTTGTCCGTGGAGGATAGAGGTCGACATATATAGGAGTCTCCCTAACAACAAGTAGTAATGCTATTCCTTTACCTTTATTTGTCGTAGCAATGT